GGGCCCTGAGTCACAAGAGGTCACCCAGCTAGCTTGGGCTCAGTCCCACGCATGCACGCCTGCCCCTGGAGCTGGGGTAGACAGCACAACTGCACAGTTCGTCAGAGGTCTTGGGATGGTGGTTTGTGCAGTAGAGAGTAGGCTGCCCATCTGCAGAGCAGACCTCCAGAGTGCTGGGTGGCAGGACTGTGGTACAGAAGGTATACACCTGGTTCCTCAGCCCTTTCTTGCCTGGGCTCGGGATGGTGCTGCTGAAGGCCCAGACCTTGTCCTGGGAGTCTCTCCTCACTCTCATCCAGAGGAGGGCGCAGAAAGCCCCATGGAGAGCACCCTATTCTTATTACTGGGGCTCACTCCTCCCAAGCAGTCTCTGCCTGAAAAACATGTGTTGGCTACAACCTCAGAATCCACTCACACTCCTGTGCTGTGAACTGACATAGCCTGATGACTGTAGTGAACCATGATGTGTTGTATATTTCAAAATCACTAAGAGGGTAAAAAGTTTCAAATATTTTCGCCACCAAAAACCATATAAGTGCTTCAGTTAATGGATATGTTAGTTTAACCTCTGCATGTTGTATTCATGTATCATAACATCGTTTTCCACCCTGCAAACATATAGTCATAGTTTGTCAATTGACAAACAATTTTTAAAAATCGAACTTCTATGTTTAACAAAAGTCAGAAAAAAAAATCCAAATAAGTTAAAATTTTAGCTGGGCATGGTGGCACAGGCTGTAACCCCAGCACTCTGGGAGGCTGAAGCAGGAAGACCTTAAATTCCAGCCCCGCCTGGGCAATTTAGCAACTTAGTGAGTTCCTATCTCAAAAACAGTAAGAGGGTTGGGGGTTTTGGCTCGATGTAAAAGCTTTGTGTTCAATCCCCAGTACTAAACACACACACACACACACACACACACACACACACACACACACATATCCTTCCTGGCTTCGAAATTTTGGGAGATAAATTTTAAAAAAGGAATGGTTGAAAAAAATCAGAACACGGCACTTGATTTTTCCCCTTATCTTCTGTGTGTATTTGAACATTTTCATAATTAAGGTTAAAACAATGTGTTTGAAATGCCCAGCCAAAGGAAGGGCCTGGCAAAATTTGAAATCATGATTTTACAACAACAGCAGGAAAAGGCACACAATCACTTAGTTTGCACTTTTTGTGAACAGTGTACTAAGAAAAAAACCTACAGCCCGAAAGGACTCACACACCAGTGATACAGTTAGGAGCTGGGCCTCTACCTGGCTTCCCCCTTTGCACGAGTTTCTAGCATGGCCACTAGTGGGTTCCCTCTGTGGCTCTTAAGCAGGTCAAGCTTCAAGCCAGTGACCACACAAATCTGGGCCATGAAACCCGAGAAAGTGACCAAGACAAAAGTTCAGACCAAGCCTTGCCAGATTCTAAGGTGTTTTCACCAACCCAAACCTGGTCACAGTGTGGCTGTACACAAACACAGCAGCCCGGAGGACTCGGAGGGCTACTGTGTCCACCAAACACTTTTACACAGAAGCAGGAAGCAATTTAGGAACATTCACTTACTGATGGGGCCTCTCAAACTCCCTCCCCCTGCCTTCCCTCCCTGCAGCCTGGTCAACAGCAACAAGGCTGTGGCAGGAAGAGGCAGAGTTTCACCCCCACACACTCCTGTGTCATCCTACTGACAACGCTCAAGCCACCCTGCCTGGGGGCCGGGTGAAAAACACTGAACTTTGGACCACTGGCGTTCACTCTGAAAACAAATGAAATCTGTTATCGATCAGCACACTTTGTTTCCTGTATCTGATCCACCCGAAGTCTAAAAGAGACAGACAGAAACCAGCAAGTGCTTGTCGTACCAATGTGGGAACATCTGTAGGCTCCTTCTGGATCATAGGCAAAGGAAACTAATGCAGACTCTGGCTTTTCACCAACAAAGAACCAGGCTCCAACCACTGATACCAAGAGAACTGTGGGAACCTTTTAAACTGTACTTTTAAACCTTGCTTCTTCTGGCAGTGGAGTTCCTGGTCCCACTGATCCACACTTAAAAAAAAAAAAATTCTCCACCTAATTCTGTTAGAGATAGGAATTTGGAATTTCTTCAATAATCCTCCTGCAAGCAGGCTTGATGGTCTTTGCAGATGGACCATCTACAAAGCTCAAGTTAGAACAGGGAGGACAGGTTACAACAGGTTAGAATGGGAAAAGTCCAGTCACCAATCAGTCATGAATCATAAGCTTTTCCTAAACTCACTACCCTCCTCAAGATCCTGATTGTCTTTACACAGAGCCTAAAAACACTAAAGAACTGCTCAGTCCTGTGGGGTGAAATGTGCTAGGAATGAGCTGGTGACCAGCGTTGAAGAGGGTGTGCTAAATTACCAGTGGCTCCCAGTAAAAGCAGCAGGACACATCTGCCACAGAGCTGGGGGCTGGGAAAGACCACTATCCACATGGCAATGACCACAGGGTTAGCCTCCAGGCTCCTAGTAGTTACTGTGACACCCAGCACCACAGAAAAACCACAGCCCAAGAGAAAAGGAAGCTGGGTCCACCCTTTACCCTCCAGGAAAGGTCAAGATCAGAGGGCGAGGAGTATACTGTTCCTCCACAAAGAGGCTGAGACCTTATGGAAAAGGAAAACACCCCCAACCTTGTCGAGGAAAGGAAAGCAACACAGTATGCTCTCAGAACACAGGGTTTTCAAGTTCAGAGCTGATCTATTCAATTTTAAGTGGTTCTACCCAATGCATTTGGGATGGTTTTTTTGTTTTTTGTTTTTTGTTTTTGATTTTTTTGCCCTGGGAATCAAACTCAAGACTTTATGCTTGCCAGGCAGGCGCTTGTGCTGCTGAGCTACATCCCTAGTCTGTATTTGGGGTGTTTTAAAATTTTGAAATGGCAACTTTCTACCAACCAAAAGCTCTCTCTGACAATCCTCTGGATGAGCAATACTAGCAGATGCTACAGCTGCTTTTTAAAAATAGTTTCACTTCATTTAATTAAATGCAGACTTGAAAAACTTAACTGTTCAGCCCAAGGTCTACTGAAAAACAAATGTGGACAAATTTGGGCTGGACATGAGCTGAGGCCACATCAATTCCTTTTACACTTCGTTGTTGTAACCCTCTCAAGCCTTCTTAGCCCAATATACAGTGTCACCAATGCAATATATAGGCATCTTGACCCCAGCTTAATTTCCTAATGAAAGATATACATTATATCACTTCCATTAATCATTCTAAAATCTTCACCTCTAAAAACATTCCTTTCATTCCAAGCTTCAAAGGGACGCAAACACGTATAAAACCTTGCTTAATGTTACTGGAATCCAACCGGACACTTTAATCTCTTAGATGAAACACCAGTTTTGTACCATTAAATTAATCTTGTTTCTGAAAAATGTGACATGAAGTAGACATCTAAAATAGAATGGAAATTTGGGGGGGTGGGGCTCAAGGCCATTACAAGTGGCCAAACTTGGACTTTTCAGAACAGAGCTCAAATTGGAGTACCACAACCTGATAATAATTTAATCCACAATTCGCTACACACTTTTGAAGCTAAAACTACTAGAGACACTGTTTCAGCAATCAACTGACTGAAAGCAAGCCAGATAACTAGATGTTAGTGAAGGGATAGGGGAAGCAAAAATAGATTATTCTTCCAAAATATGCATATGTGTGTATACACATACACACACCCCACAGTTGATACATACAAATGAGAAAACAAAACCAGACAAGTAAAAAGCATCATGCAAGTGAGTGCCTGGTACATTTGAGACACCTAAACACAAGGCACCCTGCTCTGCACTTTGGTTGGCCAGAATACTTTGAAGATGGCACCATTGGACACTTATTGTTGGGCACCTACAATTCAGGGTTATGGGTTAAAATTCTTAACAGTCCCACTTGGTTTCCCTGTTTTGATTCCTGGTCCTCCTGGTGAATGAGCTACACCACCTGTGGTAGGCTCAGGAGCACTGCACTGGAAGCTATGCATTGTGTGACATTACCCAAACAGCCACATTGGAATCAGGAAGACTGTGATCCTGGGTGAGCTCTTAGTCTCTTCAAACCTCAGTTTGCTCATCTGTGGTGTGGGGATAGTAACAGCTTTTTTGAAGAATTATGAAAATTATGCTGGGCATACCTATAATACCAACACATAGGAGACTGAGGCAGGACTACCATGAGTTTGAGGACAGCTTGGGCTACAAAGTGGGTCTGAGGCCAGCTTGAACTACACAGTGAGACCTTGTCTCAGAACACCAAAAATAAAAAGAACTGTGAAAACTGAAAAAAAAAAAAAAAAAGATTTGTGAAAATTGAGATTATATCTCTAATGATTGTACACATGCCAATCTTAAGGTTTCTGAAGCCCATACATGGCATCTTCTAACACCTACCATAAAGGTAAAGTCAGCATATGCTATATACATTTGCTACCAAGTTCTATATATTGCAGAAGTGAGCTTCTCGACCAAATATTTACCCAAGATAGATATTGGCGCTTTCGCCAGAGTCTGGGTTTTGGTGCCTAGGTTCCATCCCGTTGTGGAGTGGTGCCGCTAGCCACATAAACCGTAGGGCCATCACAGGTTTGTTTCATCAACAGGTGCGTCTGCGAGAGTGCGCCCTGGCACACCACCGAGCCAGCTCCAAATCAACCTCTGGTCCACCTCGATGGTCAGAATATGCAAGGCATCCTGGCCAACCTCCAGTCACAAAAAAGAGCTAATGAGCTCTCCAAGAACAGAAGCCGGGGTTGAGGATGAGCCGACAACAGACCCTAGGCACCACCTCGCCCAACCAGAGGTGCCCTCTGGCGTTCCCGGACCACTTTCTCCAAAAAGTCACGTCCTGGGGCGCAACTCTCAGCCCCTCAGTCCCCGCGCTGGCCGGGACTGCCCGGGTCAGGGCTCCCGTGGTCTCGGTGACGGTAGATGCCCTCCCCTGCGCGTGTCGCCGCCCGCACTGGACGGCGGGGACGCAGCACTCACCCAGCGTGGCCACCGTGCCGGCCTCGAAGAGCAGGCAGTCGCCGCGGCCGCGCGCCTCCAGCAACACGCTGCTCTCGCCCGAGGCCTCCAGCCGCGCGAGCAGCCGCAGCCCTTTGCTCAGGGCCATGGGCGCCGCGCCGCTGCGCGCAGCAGGCCGACCCGAGGGCGCACACCCGCCGCGGCTCCCGGCGCTCCCGCAACTGCCAGGAGTTTCACTTTGCGCCGACGCTCCCGCCTCGCCAGGCTCCTCCCAGGCCGCCTCCCGGCCTCCGCTTCTCCCTCACGCCCCGGCAGGTGAGGGCGCTCGGCCGGGGCGCTGCGCTCCCCCCAGCGGCGAGGCAGCTGCGCGCGGCGGAGCCCGGGCCGATCCTGCGGGCTGGAGGGGCAGCTCCTCGGCGACCGGCCCGGCGGCGTGGAGGGAGATTCCTCACATTCCTCGCCGCGGAGGAGGCTGCGACCCGCGGGGTGCCTGGATGAGGCGGGAACCCTGCCTGGACGCCCACGGCCTTATATGGGCAGCGGGGCCTGGAGAGCCCAGCGGGGCTGGAAACCACCGGCGGCGGCCGGCCCTCTCCGCCGCTGCGCCTCCCTCTGTCGGCTCCTCTGCCACGCTGGACGGGTCACTTGGACTCTGTGCCTCAGTCTCCCTGATGGGAAACCCGGAGTTTTTAAGGTGCCGTTGAGGTCTGAGCTCATTTGAATCAGCACTGAAAGCCTGCCTTTCCAGGGCAGCGGTGTTGAGGGTCAGCAGTGAATGGTCCCAGAACTGGGACCCCCCCAATCCGTGAGCTCCACTGACCGCGGGAGCCTAATTGCTCTGAGATTTACCTGCATCACCCACCAGGCTGTGACATTGCCCTTCCCACCTCTGGCCACCTACAAGTTTCAGGGCTTCGCCTGTGAAGGAGGGGCCACCAGCAGCCCTGGAGGCTCCAACTTCTGGCCCGATGGCTATGGCGGCCTGTCAGGACTGGTCTGCAAGGAGGAAGGGGTCGGACAGCTTACTCCAGTCTCGCTTATGGTGGGTTTGGAGGTTTTGATTCCTTTTCTGGTAGTTAGTGAGGATGTCGCCTCACCTTCATGCTCCACCAGGGTGGCTCGACCAGGCTTTCCAAAACCAGGCTCCTCTCTCTCACCTCCTTTGGTTGCACTGGGCCAAGCCGTTTGTCTTTGAGGTTTTGTGATATCCTTGCAGACTTTCAGCCATGGCCAGTAGCGAGCAGACTTCAGCCTTCCTAGACATGAACAACCAAGTAGACCTTTCAATCTTTTTGAGACTTCAACCCCTTGCTCGCAGATTCAGCCCTGAGGTGGTGGAAACCAGGTTTAATGCTTCTAAGCTGTCCTAACAGTGCCTTTCTCCTGTTGTGGAGATAATACCACCTCATGAGAGCAGTGTTCCTGTAAATTAGGCAGATTGACTTGGGGCCGCTTTTCCTTTCCTTTTTGGTTTAAACCAAAGCTCACTTCTTCCAGGAAGCAGTCCTGGAACGCTGCAGGCTCAGATAGTAGATTTTCACCTGCTCATATGTTGCTTGAGAAGTATTTTAGACTTGCTTTTCTTTTAGCCCTCTTTCAAAATTAGGAAGGAATTAAAGGAGAGGATCTTTTAGGGAGGGCATCAAGTCATCTGTTAATTTTATCTCTCCTCTTTCCTGCCTTGCCTCACATAAAGTTCTACATTGTAATATATGCTGTACATATTTTAGAAATTTCCCCACATTTAAGACCAGCACTTGAGTTTTACAGTCTATCCAATCTGAGACCCATCAGCTGTAAGATGAGTCACTGTTTTATGTATCACTAAGGAGAAAAAAACCACTCCCAGTTAAACCGCAACATGCCAGTGGTACTAGGTCTATCCAGATTTTGGCACTGTTAATGCATATCTTAGGCATCAAAAACACTGGTCACTGTCCCCTTGGTTCGGGGAATGCAGATGGTGCAAATGAATCAAGAGCCCTCTTAATTGGGGCAGGTCAGTTAAGGCAGACAGCAGAAGTATTGTTTTACCTGCACAATGCTTTGTGGACCACGGGTCGCCTGGGCACTTGCACCCTCAGTAGACAGAGACAGTGACCAGCGGAGACACTCAGGAAAGGCCAGTTCACCACCTATAGCACCAGTGCAACCTGGGGGAACAAGTGGCACTTCCTGTCATGTATGTTGGGCACACCCCATTTATGTGGTATTGAGCCCAGAGGGCAGGGTTGGGGAAGGGAGGAGCTGGGGAAGGAAGGAAAAGTTAACCACACCAGCCCTGAGTAAGCCACAGCAGGAAGTTAAAAGTCCATCAGGGTGGGGCTGGGGAGCCAGAGACCCCAACAAGCTATAAAGCAAACAGAGAAAAATAAGGTATGTGAGGGACTGAATATCAGTGTCTCTCCATCTGTATGTCAAAGTCTTAATCCGCATCAGGATGCTATTTGGAGGTGGATCTCTGGGAGGTAATCAGGTTAGGTGAGGTCACGAGAGTAGGCAGCTATGATAGGTTAATGTCCTTATAAGAACAGACACCAGAGAACTCCACACCCCACCACCAAGGCCACCACAGCCACCCCTGGGAAGGAAAGGCCAGGTGCAGGCATAGCCAGAGGCACTGCAGGCCAGGAAGAGGGCCTCGGGAGAGCCCAGTTACCAGCCCCTTGAACCTTGTGAAACAGATGTCTACTACTTTAAGCACCCAGTCTGTGATACTTTGCTATAGAAGCCCCTGCTGTCTAAGGCAGGAAAGCTTCTAAAGAAATCACACAGGAGGCAAAACAAGACAGAAAGAGAAAAAGGATAAGGCCTCCATAGTTGTGAGAACTGGCAGGATCAGGGAGGGAGGACCCTGCTTTGACCCCAGGTGACTCCAGGTGGAGTAAGGCATGATCCTCAAGGCCTGTTATAGTCATGCTGGTTTGGGCATTGAGAAATGGTCAGAAATACACACAGCAGCTCTCTGCAAGGCAGTGGAGGCAAGAGTAGGAAGCAGGTGTTTGAACCTCAGGGGAGGGATCGAGAGAAAAGGCAGCAAGACGCAGCCCCACAGAGGGCTCTGGGAAGCCCGTGAGTGGTAACTGAGAAAGAAGACTCAAGAGAAGCTTGGCTTGGTGAGAAGGTATTGGTGACCTTTGAGTCACCTGCAGTTTTGTTAGAGGATTGGAAGAAAAGAACTAGCTAGCAAAAGTTAAGGATGAAATATAGGCAGTACTGTTAAGTATAGACTGTTAGCCCCAGAGGCCTGGCTGGGAGAAGCAGGTAAATAAGATGGTGGGTGGAGGGAACAGCAGACACCAGGGATGACACGCTAGGCAGGGCAGGAAGGGGCACTGGGGAGTAGAGGAAGGGTGCCATTGTGCCTCCCAGTAAGCACTTAGGCTGGGTGTGAAGTCAAGGAGACCAGAAAAGGTCAGAATATCTACAGTGGCCTACGGAATCCAAAAGTCACACACTCAGGGGCTCCTGAGCCTGGGCAGATGATGGAGCCCTGACCATGAAGGGTAAATGTTTTGAATCAATTCAGGACATCCAGGCAGCTGGGACACTACAACTAAAGACACTCATGGAAGAAGACTTCCACAACTGCTTGGAAAGTGGCACAGACAGTGCAGCTCTCATCTGGTCCTAAGGCATCCACTGGCCTCTGCCTGTGAGTGAGGGGTGTAACCAGGGCTCCCTTCAGCCAGGAGCAAATACTGATAGCACTGTGTGGGTGGGCGACACCCCACCCACTGGCACCACTTGGTGTGTCAGCTGGAGCCTTGATCTAATCACCTTCCTTCTCCTCCTCACCCCAGTAGCAGCCTGAGTGGCCCTGTTGACACCATCAGGTCGCTGGGCTTGCTCTGTCTTGGCCTCTGTGACCTGGTGTATCACATCTCACACCAGTCAGCTACTCTCCTTCTCCCTTATTTGTGCTAAGAGTCACCCTGCTCACTTGGAAGCTGGTCTGCTAGGTGCTCTTGTGGTTGCTTTTCTCAGTTTTTCAGGTCGATTAAAAAACTGGCTTCTTGAGCAGGGGTTGTGGTTCAGGGATACAGTGTTTGCATAGAATGCTTGAGGCCCTGGAGTCCATCAAGGGCATCATAAATCAAGCAGACAAAGGGTAAAAATCCCCAGCCTTTTTGTGAGGACTTCCTACTAAAATTTCTTTATTCACCTACCCTTCTCATTGTCTTAAGCCCTCTCCCCTACAAATGTGATTGTATTTAGAGCCGGGGCGGGGTGAGGTCTCCAAGGAGATGACTAAGTCAAAGTGATCTCATTAAAGAGGCCTTGATCCAGCTGGACTGGAGACTTAAGAAAAAATTAGGAGACACATGTGAGCACAGAGATGATCAAGTGAAGACACACAGGAAAAGCCCTCTTTAGAAAGTCAAAGCGAGGCCTCTGGAAAAGCCACCCTGCCAACACCCGGGTCTTGGACTTCCAGCCTCCATCCCTGAAAGAACTATTTTTTCTGCCACCACTCTGTGGGATTTCATTATGAAAGCCAGAGCAGAATAATACACTCCCCATATTTCATATCTTACCCTGTTTTATTTTCTCCTTAGCATTTCACTAACATCATAAATTTATATTTATATTTATATTTGGATTTATATTTATAATTCCATATCACTCACTATAAAAGAAGCTACTGTAGGGGCTGGGGATTTAGCTCAGCGGCATAAGCGCCTGCCTTGCAAGCAGGCAGTCGTAAGTTCGATCCCTGGTACCAATAAAAAGACAAAAAAAAAAAAAAAAAAGAAGCTACTGTACAAGTTCTTAGTAGCTTGGCTTGGTTTTGTCTTATTCATTCCCAGGACATCCCTGGTGCCAGTGTTACCAGGTAGTTCCTTTAGGGATGGCTCGACAAGTAAGGGTATTTCAGGTCTCTGTTTCCTCAAACAAAGAATTGGATGAGGCAAGCCAAAAACAGTGCCAAAAGTTTATTTGAAAAGTGCGGAGTAAAGGGGTCAAGGAGAGACTGGCTCTGCAGGGCAAACTTGAGCTGAAGAAAAGAAAGAATAAAAGCAAAAATAAAAGTATACCCTGATCTAGAAGACACGGAGTGGGGTGTCACGAAGAGTCACCATAGTGGGCTGCTCGTGGCATCTGTGTCCTTATATGTTGGCCACATCTCATGGAAGCCCCTGACAAGCCCTACAGATGGAGTCCTAGGATGTATTTAGCACTGTCCTGGGATCTTGTAATTGAGAGGTCCCAATTATTTTTTCAACCAGCTTTGCCACATGCTACCTTCTGTATCAATAAGACAGTGCCGGGTACCTAGCT